GGGAGACCGTGGGGGGGAGGAGCGGAGCCCGGGGCGGGGGGAGTGGGAGACCGTGGCGGGGGGAGCGGAGCCCGTCACGCACCCCGTCCCCCTCCAGGAGACCCTGTGGGCTGCGTGGCCCTGCGCGACAAGGACCCGGGCAGCTATGTGGTGGCCGCGGGCACGCGCGTGGGACTGCTGGACTGGGACTCGCAGGACGTGCAGTGGGTGGCGCAGCTGGACGGACAGACGCCTGGCATCCGGGTCAATGACGGCAAGGTGGACCCCGCGGGGCGCTTCGTGACAGGTGACACGGGGTCACGGGGGTCATGGGGTCACGGGGACACAGGGTCACCATGACTTCTCCCACCGTGTCCTCTCCGCGTGACCATGTTTTACCCTGTGACCGTGACCCCTGCCCCCGCCCTCTGACCCCGAAGGCACCATGCCCGAGCCCCTGGCCCCCGGGGTGTGGGAACCCGCGCAGGGCGCCCTCTACTCGCTCCACGGGGATCACGAGGTGCGGAAGCTCGCCGACCGGCTGGGCATCTCCAACGGGCTGGACTGGTCACCCGACCAGCGCACGTTCTACCACGTGGACAGCCTGGACTACGCCGTGTACGCCTATGACTATGACGTGCAGGCGGGCACCATCGGTGAGCGTGGGGGCGACCTTGTGCCCATGCCCTTCTCCCCGTGGCCCCGGCGCCCACAGCGTCCGTGTCCGTGTCCCCGCAGAGAACCGCCGGCTCCTGCTCCAGCTGCCGCGGGGCGGGGCGATGCCCGACGGGCTGTGCGTGGACAGCGCAGGGTCGCTGTGGGTGGCGTGCATCGACGGGGGCCGCGTGATCCGCGTGGACCCGCACACCGGTGCGTGAAGTCAGGGTGTGGGGGGGAGGTGTCGCGGCGGGGTCACGGTGTGACGTCAGGGCGTGTAGGGTCGTGCGTGGGAACCTTGGAATTCCCCGTGTCCCGCGTCACTTCCTGCTGACCCCCCCAGGGTCACGAGTGGGAACCCTGGAATTCCCCGTGTCCCGCGTCACTTCCTGCTGCTTCGGTGGCGCTGACTATGCGGATCTCTTCGTGACGTCAGCAGCCGACGGGCTGAGCGCGGAGCAGCTGCGGGGGGAGCCGCAGGCGGGTCACGTGTTCAAGGTGGGCGAGGTGGGGTCACGTGTTCAAAACGGGGGGGGGCCTGCGTGTCCCAGCATGTCCCGCGGCTGTGGGGGGGGTCCCGAGTTGTGGGAATTTCCCGCATGACGTCAGGCCCTGCCCCCCACAGGTCTCCGGCCTGGGCGTTCGCGGACGCGCGTGTTTCCCCTTCGTAGGCTGAGGCCAAGTCCTGTCCAGGTGACCCCCGTGACCCCATGACCCCTGCGAACCCCCGTGACCCCCATGACCCCTGCGAACCCCCGTGACTCCCGTGTCCCCCATGACCCCCATCATAAATCCTGCTGTGTTTCCACGAGTGTCCGCGTCAGTGGGGTCAAGGATCATGGGGTCACTGCAGACCACGGAGAGGACTGAGCCGGGTCCTGATGCTAAGTACACAGTACACAGAACCTGGGGTCCGAGGACTCAGCACAGCACTTGTGCTAAGTACACAGCTAAGTACTCAGGAGGACTTAGACAAGCAGTGCACAGACTGGAACAGAAACTGAGTCTGTCCTTTTCTGCAGCACAGCACTCATGCAGAGTACACAGTACACAGTACCCGGGTCCGAGTACTCAGCACAGCACTTGTGCTAAGTATATACAGGACACAGCTAAGGACTCATGAAGACTTAGATAAGCACTCAGACAGGAAACAGATGGGCTGGGCGTCCTGTTCTGCAGTGAGTACTCAGCAGAGCACTCATACTAAGTACACAGTACACAGCTAAGTAGTCACAAGGACTTAGACAAGCACTCACAGTCAGGAAATAGATGGGTGGGGCGGGTTCAATACTCAGTACAGAGACGTGAACACTCATGCTGAGTACACAGTACACAGTACTCACGGCCCGACTACTCAGCACAGCTCTCGTGCTATGTACACAGTACATAGTTAAGGACTCATGAGGACTTAGACAAGCACTCACACACAGGGGCGGGGCCGTCCTGTTCAGCGGGTTCAGCAGGTACTCAGTACAGCACTCATGCTATATACACAGTACTCAGTTAACTACTCACGAGGTCTTAGACCAACACCACGCAGCTCTTCAACCTTCTTAGTTTTCAGTACTCAGCATGGTGACGTGAGCACTCAGGAGGACTGAGACAAGCACTCACAGCTCTTCAACCTTTTCGGTTTTCAGTCAAGTTGTGCATCTGATACCATGAACTTGGTTACAAGGGGTGACTCGGGGTCATCAGCCCTGGGGATCAAACACTCCAAACACAGACACTGTTGTCCCCGTGTCCCCCGCCCCCACGCCCTGTCCCCCCGCCTTTTCCCCCCCCCGTGTCCCCTCCCTCTGTCTCCCCCCAGTCTCCCTGCCGTGCCCCCCTGTCCCCTCCCTCATGTCCCCCCTTCCCCCATCTCTTCCCTCTCTGTGTCCCCCGCCCGTGTAGCCTCCCCCCCCCCATCCCCCAGCCACGGGATCCCCAGGACTCAGCTGGGAACAGAGGGGTTAGAGTGGTAACAGCCGGTCACAGCCAGTCTGACCCCAGGACAGAGCAGGGGCGGGAGGGACTGACGTCACCCTGAGGACCAGGCAGGGCGGTGCTGACGTCACAGCTCAGCACACAGTAGTGTCCTGACTGTGTGCGGCGTTACCGCCACGCCTCCCCACATCGAGGGGCGGGTCACCACGGCCACGCCCCCACAGGGACCTTGTCACTCAGGGCACTCAGCAGGGCACAGGGACAGGAGGGTGACACACAGGCCTGGTGTCACCAGCCACACACCCGCGGGGACTGAGCCCGTCTCTGTCGGAATGTGTAACCAGGTAAAGTCGTCCCGGGAACTCACATCAGAGTTGCTCACCGAGGGCTCCCTTAGGCTGGTGCCACCTGTCGCTCAGGGAAAGGACTGGGGGGGGAGGGGAAGGGGTGTTACACGGGGTGGGGGCAGGGGACAGTGCTGCCACCGAGGACTCTTATGGTGCCACCTGGCGCCCAGCTCCATCCTGCCTGGGTTCCTGCTCTGCTTGAGTTCCTGTCCTCAGGGCTTCTGATGATGAAATGATCCCTGGAACTGTGGGGGACTTTCTTCCAGCCTGGTGTTTCATCCTAGCAGTAGTAACTCTGACTAAGACAGTGTGGTTTGAATCTACAACCTCCAAGGTCTGCCTTGCATCTAACAAACACTGTCATTCGATGTTGCTGCATGGTTTGCTACTGAGGAAGCTACTTTTTCTTTAAAGACAGGGTTTTTCTTTGTAGCCCTTGCAGGACCTCGCTCTGTCTATCAGGCTGGTCTCTAATGACAGAGATGGCCTGCTCTGACTCCTGGGTGCTTCAATTAAAGGCATGTACCAACACTGCCCAGCTGGAAATACTGTTTTATCCCTGTCCCGTTGATGCTGGGGCTGCTTCCACTGTTTAGCTGTTTAAAGAAGGCCACTTTGTTCAAGCTGGTACATACAGCCTGCGCTACAAATGTGACAGTTTTTCCTGTCATATCACAGCTACATTCCAGCATGTGCATGCCTGGACCTTCCTGGATGATGCTCTTGTCTCTAGTGCATGGGACTCACTATGCTTCTCAGGTGTTCTCCACTGGTGACCTGGAAGCCTTTGCAATATGAGGGTGTTTTTTCTGCTGTGCTTGGACATGTGTCCACATGTCCATTGGTCTCCTTTTAGTTTTGCTGTCTGAAGATCCAGGAAGGAAGTAGCAGCTAAGAGGGTCATGGATGGACCTGGGAAGAAGGACAGAGGAAGTACAGACTGCAAGAATTTGAACACAGCCATCCAGGCTGCAGTCATGACAGCCTTCCTTTACCTGTGGTGGCCAGCTGTGCACACCTCCCTGGAGATTAGTCAACCTCTTTAGCTCACAGTGAGCCTGGACAACAGGAGCTCCCCACTACATCATCTGCTGTAGCATGAATCTTAAAAGGTCTTATTAATAAAAACAAACCCAGTGCCAGTTATTGGGATGAATGCTGGAAGATCAGAGAAGCAGAACAAGCCACAGCCACCTCACCTCACCAACTCCTCAGCTGATCCTGTTTCCTCAAACTGGAAGCCTCTGTGTCCTCATCTGAATGGCTCTCAGCTAAACTGCTGCTCAAATCCTAAAAGCTTAACCAGCCAAATGCTTCTAGTTTCTGATCTTCACGCCTTATATACCTTTCTGCTTCCTGCCATCACTCCCTGTGATTAAAGGCTCACTTTCTGGGATTAAAGGCGTGTGTGTGCTGTTTCCAATGTGGCCTTGAATTCACAGAGATCCAGATGGATTTCTGCCTCTGGAATGCTAGGATTAAAGGCGTGTGCTACCATTGCCTATCCTCTATGTTTAATATTGTGACTGTTCTGTCTCTGATCCCAGATAATTTTATTAGAGTGCAAAATATTTCGGGGAACACAATACCACCACAATCTGCATTGAGTGTGTCCTCCTTGGCAGCAAGTGATTTTACCCTCTCAGCAAGCTTCCCAGCTCAAGGCTGAGGGCTTTGAAGCCCATCGGAGGTTGATAGATGAGTCAGATTTCAGCTGGGCACATTGTTTCACACTTATAATCCCAACACATTGAATATGGAGATGAAGATTTTGCGTTTCAAGTCATGTTAGTCTACATTGCAAGACTCTACCTCAAAACAAAATGAATAAACATCACACATGCCCATTTTGGTGGTTCACACCTTAGATCTCAGTACTTAGCAAGCTGATGCAGGAGGATCACCACTAATTTTAAACCAAGCTAAGGTATCCTGTGAGACCCTGTGTCAAAAAAAAAAAATCCCTTCCCCAAAGGGTTCAGATTGGCATTCTTTTTACTATTTCCTAAACCTAACAAATGTCCACCCACTTGTTTGGGATTGCTGAATGAAATCAATACCTAAAATAAAAAAGGAGGACTGGTTAGCACCTGTAGATTCTAACTCCAGAATTCTCAGGGGGAGATTTTATCTGAGCACTTTTCACTCCTTTAAATAAGTCAGCCTGTTAAAAATACTCTTGAATTAATTTTTATGAAATACACAATGATATACTTACTAGAGCCTTTAGAAATTAACATAAGTAAAATCTAAGAAAAAAATTTCAGAAAGTAAATTCAACACACCCAAAACAAAAAGTCAGTGGTGTTTTCAAGGATTATTTAAACTAGGTTGCATTTTTATTTTTGACACAAGCTCAGAAAAATAATGAATCAAAAAAGAATTAAATGGTAAGCAAGCTTGCATCTTTGTAAATACATTTCTCTTGTTTAGTAATATGTGGTGATATTGTGTTCCCCAAAATATTGTGCACCCTGATAAACTTATCTGGGGTCAGAGAAATGAACAGCCACTAGACAGACATAGAAGCCAGAAAATGATGGCACTCACACATTTAATCCTAGCCTTCTGGAGGCAGAGATCCATTCGGATCTCTGTGAGTTCAAGACTGCACTGGAAACAGCCAGGCCTGGTGACTAATGCCTTTAATCCCAGGAAATGAGCCTTTAATCCCAGGAAGTGATGACAGGGAGCAAAAAGGTATATAAGGCATGAGGTCCAGGAACTAGAGCCTGGTTAAGCTTTTGGCTTTTTGAGCAGCACAGTTCAGCTGAGAGGCATCCAGTCTGAGGAAACAGGATCAGTTGAGGAGTTGGCGAGGTGAGGTAGCTGTGGCTTGTTCTGCTTCTCTGATCTTCCAGCATTGACCCCAATACCTGGCTCCAGGTTTGTTTTTATTAATAAGACCTTTTAAGGTTCGTGCTACAATTATATTTTTTCAAACTGATGTAAGTTACAGTTTATGATTATAAAACAAATAGGCAGTAGATGAAAAGTCCTTGTTAACCAAATAAATATGTACCCCCCCAAACCAATCCTTGATATATAAGTCATCCAAAAAGGTTTTATTCATGAGTGCTTACATTTTATTAAAAGATACAATATTACTTATCCTACCAAATACTGCACTTATTATCAAGAGCATACCTGATACTTTAACATATTCTAATTATGTAACTACAGAGACAAGCCCAAGCTCCCCACAGGTTGAACTCACACACCTTCTGGGAGCCAGCACCATTTCACCTGCTGATCTTGGTCACTCAAAACAGCACTTCTGAAATATTTACTACCCATTGCTGCAAGCCATTAAAATTCCACTTAGAACATATCAACAGTTTACAAGACACATTTGACTTAACAGCAAAAGGCAGAATGCCATTACAATTTATTTTTTAAGGTCAATTATGGTTTGTCAACCACAGCATTCAATCATAGCCAGCTCTTCCTGCGACTGTGATTTACAACTCACACAGTAACATATGTATCTTAACATAGGTGTAGCTCAGTCACTATAGATTCCACATAAGCCCCTGGTCTTGTCTATAGTAAGTTATGGACTAATTTATGTTTTAGAATATTAGTTTAAGATGTGTTACATATGTTTGTGCTGTGGAATATTTGTTTAATGATACAAAAATGTGTTGCATTCTTTTATGTTGCATTTGTTTAGCTCTATAAAGCTGTGTTACTTTGCCTGCCTAAAGCACCTGATTGGTTTAATAAAGAGCTGAATAGTCAATAATAGGTAGGCAGGAGAGAGAAATAGTTGGGGCAGGTGGGCAGAGAGAATAAAGAGGAGGAAATATCTAAAAAAAAGGAGAGGAGTGAGAAAGGGGAGAAGGATGCCAAGGGCCAGCCATCTAGCCAGCCACAGAGTAAGAAGGAAAGAAAGATATATAGAATAAGGAAATGTAAAAAGCCTACAGGCCAAAATGTAGTTAAAGAGAAATGGGATAATTTAAGTTAGAAAAGCTTGCTAGAAACAAGCCAAGCTAATGCTGGGCATTCATATTAAAGAATAAGTCTCTGTGTATTTATTTGGGAGCTGGGTGATGAGTCCCCAAAGAGTTAAAAAAAAATTACAGTTTTATGCAAAAATCCCTGAAACAGCAAATATTTCAAACATAAAAGAAAAGCAAATGTCAGTGAATACCCATTAAATCATAGGCTGTGTGTGAGAGAGAGAGCACAGTAGAGATTGTGTGTTGAAGATGTCTAAGTTACTTTACATTTTCAAGTAAAATGATATGTGAAATAAATTTCATTAATTCACTTGCAAAAAACCCAAAATCTTTCTTGTATATATTGTTTTGTAGAATATAACTTCATTAATTACCCATATGTTTTAAAACTTTAGCATTCCAATTTTATATCTTCAGGGTTAGCAACTGAAGCGCACAAACATACTTCTGGGAAATGTGTTAAGTAAGGATAATACTAGAATAAGATACCTCCATTTAGAAAGTGATGCTAAATTTCATTCAGTACTTTAAATTTATTTAATCTTATTTTATGTGCATTGGTGTTTTGTCTGCATGTATGTGTGTGTGAGGGTGTCAGGTCCCCTAGGATTAGAGTTACAGAGTGTTGTGAGCCACCATGTGGGTTCTGAGAATTGAACCTGGGTCCTCTGGAAGAGCAGTCAGTGCTCTTAACCACAGAGCCATCTCTCCAGCTCCATCTTTCAGTCCTTTAACTATAATTCTAAATGGTGGCTTTAGTACTAGAGATGGAGTTTACTTTCTCCTTCCTTGGTGACTGGAGCTTTGATGATGGTGTTTCACTTTTAAGCATCAATTTACTTAATTTTTGAATTTTTATAGGTTCAAAGAATGAATTCTACAAGATTAAATTAATAAGTAGTTTTCCATTAATTAACAAGTATCCATCAATATGATCAAAACAAATAACCAAGTCTTGTCATGTATCTAATAGCTCATACTATTTCATAAATTTTTCTTTTTTTTTTCTTGCAAGGACTACATTTTAAATGAAAAGCATCCCAAAGTAGGTTACTTATGAAGTCCCCTTAACTGATAATCCAAAAAGAACACAAAAGCGATGATGCTCTTGAAGAGAATTGTACAAGTTCCCCTGTGTGTGGTAATACACATTTCAATACGTCAGCAAGGATATTCATTTCAGTCTAGTGACTGCTCATACCCATAACCACCTCCCAAGTATTTCTCTTCCCTTCCATCTCTACAATGAATTTAAAACTTGAATATTTTTTTTACTTCATTCTACATAAAATTGCTTAGTAATATTACTAATCTTAACCAATATGAAAAATCTTGCTGTCAAACATCTCTTTTCACTTAGTAGTAATAACAGTGTTTGATTTCTACTTCTACTTCCACTAAACTTGAACATCACAGGAAGTACAAAGCACACTGAACTGATGCTCTGTACATATTTTGCTGAATACAGGTGCTTTAGTTTAAAGCAATAGGTTCACAATAAGACTGTTTAGATAAAATAGTTTACAATGTGTGTAAAATGTACGTAGGCTTGAAATAAAATATATATGTAGTTATAGTTATATAAACAAATAGTTTTTAAAAATAAAGTCTTAAAAAACAATAAAGGTAATAAGCCATGTAAAGATGGCTATTACACAGAGAATCTGGATTATGTTGTTTTTGATATTTGTAACTAAAGAAAAACATTTGATTGTAAAAGCTGTTGAGTTATGCCAAAATGAATGGACAGCTAAATTTTAAAAAACCATCAACAATTTCCAGAATTTAAAATCCTGAATCATGACATGACACGAGTGGAATTCAGGTGTTTCTGGTACATGGACTGCTCTCACCCAATGTGAGGTTGAACTGTTGACCTTGTGTACATCCTACTTCACAAATGAGTCTGTCAGATACGCTAAGCCTATAGGCTGAAGATGATGCCCCAACACTGCGGAAAAACCTCAGGTAACTGTCCAGGCAGCTGACTGTTTCTGTCAACTCACAAATTTTTTGGAAGTTGCTTGCATGCACTTCCTGTTTTTATTTTTGTTAGGTAATATTATTTCCTTCTTGGTTCTCTGAGGGAGTTGAAGACAAGTTAGTTATAGTTGAGGATTAGTTAGTTATAGTTGAAGATTAATTAGGATAGAAGTGAATTAGATACATTTTGGACTTATCAAAATAGGATAGATAATGGAATTACTTTCTCTGAATTTGTCAAATACAAATGGACTAGACATTGTT